CTGGGGCAAAATGTGTCTCTCTCCCCCTCCCAAAATGTAAAACTGTCCATTATGGCCCAGAGCTACAAAGGGAAAGGTTCTCAGGATAATGAGCATTAATAATTTTCTTGGCTCTGTAAATGCGATTGAGTGGAGGTGTATGTGAATGACTAAAAAGCAAAATGCCTCCAGGGCTGTTTTTTATTGTGACTCTAATTAAACCCTTGCCAATTTGCACAGGGATTTTTTCATATTCTCTTTAACACCATATTAATATCAATTGGTTTCCACTTTCCAGCTGAAAAGGACAATGTCTATCACCTTCTCTTAGAGCTTGTCATTAAAAAATAATCTTTTTTTTTTTATTTTTTATTCTGTATTGTTTATCATCTCCTTGATGAGGCTGGGAAATCACATTTCTCTCCTACTTGGGTTTGTCCTTTGAAACTTGGCAAGAATCAAGAGATTTTTATTTTTTCCCTCCTCCTCCTTATGTTACCCAACTGGAGCTTGAAATTAATAATATGGCTTTTAAAATTTTTAGTCCCTGATTTGTTTTCTAGCAAACCTGAAGATTGTTACCAATATTGAGAATGAGGGGAGGGGGATGGAGCCAGTGGGGGTGAGGGTTTGCAGGGAAACCAAACACAAGTGAGCTATAAAATTTCTTGCTGGTTCATCTTCTCTGCGGTGGTTGGAAATTCTTTCATTTGTATTTGTGAGGAGAGCCTGAAGGAGGGTGTGGAAGCTGGGATTGGAAACCAGGGTCTGGTGCCTCCATCCCAGGTGTGTGTGCTGTTTCTCTGCTGTCATTTCAGAGCAGAGGGGTGCAGGGCAGTGGCTGGGATCCTGATGCTAACACAGGAGCTCAGGCGGCTCAGCACACACTGCCCCTCACAGCTCAAGGGCTCTGGTGTCTAAAGACCCCTCTGGCACAGGGCTGGGTGTTGGATTTGGGGCTCTGACTCCCTGTGGGAATGCTGCAGGGCTCTTCGTGGGATACCAGCTCCTCCAGTAACACAATTTTCTCTTTGATCACTGCAAGACTACCCCGGCTTGTCGGCGGCTGCCCCGCTGCAGGTGGGCTCTCCCCTGGCCAAGGCTGGCCCAGGAGCACAAGGTAGGAGCCACGGGACTGAGCTGGGTCCTGCCAGCTCAGAGAATGCTTTAGTTCTAGCTCTGGATCTGTGTTTTCCATGCCTCTCTTCTCCTCCTGCCCAGGAAAGAGCTCGGGGCTTGTCTGTGCCCTGCACACAGCTGGGAATGAGGCTGGATAGAGCCTCGGGGTTTAGTAGTGTACATGAACAATGAGGATGGTGAGTGGTAGAAGAGATTGTTCACAGCTTGCTGCTGGGGTGAATGGAGAGGATCATGGAAATGCTGTCATCTCCCGAGGCTGTAGCCTGTCTGTGCAGCAGAATCACCCTCTGAATGGATAGCCTGTGCTGGTTAGAGTTGTTTAGATCCTTCTCATGCATTTCCTTTCTCAGGTCTCCTACGTTACTGCCTGAGGTGCTCCAGGTGGGAGCCTTGGGAGGTTTCTCTCTGGCTGTTGAGGCTGAAGCTTCTCCTGCTCAGGGCTCCCAGCACACACGCGCTTTGGTAGCTGTCCTTGGTGCTCAGCTCCCTTCTCCCACACGAGATTCCTGTAGCTCGTTCCAGCCGTAGGCTTTAGCATCGCTCCTGTGCAGATCCACCCCAGGCCTGTCTGGCCTCACAGAGAGGCAAAGCTGCTTTTGATGCAGTAACAAGGGATAGAGCTACACCAAGGGGCAAGTGTTGACAGGGCTCTGCAGATCTGGCTTCTCTCCATGCCTGGGCAGTGTCAGAAGCACCTGCCAACACTCAGCCATCCAGCAGCTCCCACACCTTCCCCCTAGGAATATTTTTCCTGTCTCTCTTCACACTTGTAGACGCTAACCTTGAGGAGGCTTTGTCTCTCCTTCCTGCTTCAGCACATCCTCAACCAGTTACAGTTTCACCACCCCAGCCTAGACACCTGCCTAGAGCTTCCAGTGTCCCCTTGACACCTTGCTAAGCAAACCAGGGAGGATCTGTTTTAAATCTGATGTTCTCTCTGATGCCACCTGTGATGACCCACCAAACCCAGCAGCACTTGGACAGAAGCCGAAGCCATCAGACCCTCCCAAGAACATGCGAGGTAAGACCAGGCCAGTCCCCAAGGGTGGGACAGGGCAGGTTTCTCCCTCAGTGCCCCAGACCAGGACAACCAGCTGTCCTCAGCACAACCCCCCATTGTACAATCTCCTACTCAGAGGGTCCAGCTCAGCTCAGCTCTGCCCATCCAGCCCCAGGGGGGTCTTTTTGGAGATGCCTGGGGCCAAGGAAAGCCATGGAGACCAGCAGGGCCCTGGTACCACAGCAGCCTCAGGGATGCACTCTGACCATGGCTGAGCTCATGGGAAGCAGAACCACCTCCTGCCACCACTGTCACTGTGAGGATGTGACTGACACAGGAGTCTGGAGCTGGCAATGCCCACACAGAGCCCTCCTGAGCACCACAGCACATGCAAGGGCATAAGCTCCATAAAAAAAACAATGGAACCAGAACCCATTTCCAAACACCCTGTGGGACCTCAATGCTGCTCAGCCTTGCTCCTCACTGGACTCACCAGAGCACAAAACCTCCCAAGGCTTGGTGGCCTTTTTCCCCAGTGCTGGGTCATTCTGCGTGGGACAGGGGTCTGGCTGGCAGCACAACCCCCAGGGAGCCCCATTCCTGCTGGGACAGCCCTTCACCCCGAGGAAACGTGGGGAACATGGCCCTGGGAGCCCCCTCCCCAGCACAGCTCTCAGACCTGTTCTATCCTCTGGTGCAGCGACTCCAAAGAGCAAAGCAGGGCGCACAGCACACTCTGCAGGCAAGAAGCACGGGAAAAAGACAGGTACGTGCTGCTGGGGACGTCCTGCCAGGCTGGAGCAGCACCTGCTCTGCAGGACCCTGTAGCAACCCCTGCCAGATGCCACCTCCATAGCATTCATCCTCCTCGCAGATTTTTGGGTGCCAGCTGGCGTAACCTTCATCGGTGGCCTGTAGATAATGGTTTGTAAGTTGTAGATCCTTATCCCAAACCACGCCACCACTCATCAAGGGGGCACATGTGAGCAGCTCCTCCCAGCTCTGCAGTAGTGTTGTGTGTTGAGTTATTAATGCATTGAGTTTTTCATGCATCAGACTTAGAGGAGGGGAGGAGAAGAGGAGAAATGTAGCGGCTACCTGGTGCAGAAATAGATGCCAGTGCTGCCAGCGCTTGGCTCGGTATTGTTCTCGTGGCAGGGGAGGACACGGGGTGGTGTTAAGCAGTGAGAAAAAGCCTTTCTCTGATTTTTCTCAAGCATCCTCAAAGAGCTCAAAACTCATCCGGCTCAAACCAAACTCTGGCCCAGTGGCTCCCATTGAAACATACAAAGGTAAGCAGAGGGAGGGCGGCGCTCCAGGGCTCCCTGGCCTCGCTCAGGTGATGTGGTCCTGCAGATTCAGATGTGGAGAAGGTGGGGAGGGTCTGTCCGAGTCGTGGTTAGCTGTTGGCTGTGTGCAGCAGTGCTTCTGTAGTCTGAAACAACACCTAGGAATTGCAGCAGGCAGTATTTGAGCTGAAATTCTTTGGGTATCAGTTGATGAGGCAGAAGTTATTTCACAGAGATCACAAGAGACTCTCAGCTCCTCCTCAGGCAGCTGTGAACCATGGGGAAACCTCTGCCCTGCTCCTTCTTCTTTGGTCATCATGTCATTGATCATGTCTCCTCCTCCAGTCGCATGTGCATGCCAACCCACACCCTTCCCTGCCATCCCTCTGCCATCCTTGAATGTTTCATGTTCTGCTTGGAACAAAACCCCAGCTCCAAACCTCTCTCTGAAGGCTCTGAAAGCTCAGACCTGGCTGAGACTTTCTGCTCATGTTATCCCCTGCCCTTGTTGCCTGGGAACCTCCTGCCCAGGCCAGCTGGGCCACAAGTCCCCTCCTTTTCTCCTGAGTTGCACATCTCACTATAAACACACACAAACACACACACATTTATATATATATGTATTTATATAAAAATCTCCCAGTAAGACCCAGCACCTGGATCTGACACTGCAAGGCTGTCACCATCCCAAGTCATGGTCATAAAAAGCAAACACAAGAAGCACAAAATCCAATCCCCCTGACTACAAATTCACCCACAAACAGTTGTTTCCTAACATGTGCCCACAGCTGAGAGAGGTCAGCCCTGGGGACAGGAGCACTTGGCCAAGTGATGGTGACATCTCCCTCCCCACCAGCAGCCTTTGCTGTGCTGTGCCAGGCAAGCCCTGGTTCAAACCTTCACACACCTGTCCACCAGCTGTTGAAGGATCCCAAACAAGCCACACTGCCTTGCACAGGCTTATTTTAAACACTTAACCTGAGAGCCACCACCCTTCAGAACGGAAAGGTACAACAGGACCTGCTGAGATAGAGGGGAAAAGGAGAGGTGAGGTTTTACCTGGACATGCAGCAGCTCCATCTCCACTTGAGCACCCTCTGCCAGGCCCATCCCATGGGCCAGTCCCCTCTGTTCCCCAGCCAGGCAGAGTCTGTGCCAGGGCTCTTCCCCCCAGCCCAGCTCCTCACAGGTCCTGCAGCCTCCTCAGAGCCAAACCCAGGCACAGAGCTCTGCTCATTAATAAGGCGGCTCTTTAATTAACATCTGACTCCCCTCCACTGCCTGCTTCCATAATTATGCAGTTTCTAGAAGAAATCATGTCCTGGGATTGAAAGGAGCTGGCTCCTGCCTCTCCACACCTCAAGATTACAGGGACCCCGACCCTGCTCTGAGTGATTTCCAGCCCAGTCTTCCCGGGGTGATGGAGAGCTGTGCGCCCTCCTCCTGCCCAGCTCACCCCAGCCCTGCTCTGGCAGTGGCCATGGCATTCCCTCCAGCAGGACCTGTCTCCACAGTGGCTCCTCTCCTCCTTCCAGCACGGGGGAAGGCGCTCCAGGGCCATGTCTCCAGCTCTCCCCTCCTCTCCTCCACAGACTGCGAGTGCTACGGCCACTCCAACCGCTGCAGCTACATTGACTTCCTCAACGTGGTGACCTGCGTGAGCTGCAAGCACAACACGCGGGGCCAGCACTGCCAGCACTGCCGCCTGGGCTTCTACCGCAACAGCTCTGCCGAGCTGGATGACGAGAATGTCTGCATAGGTGAGCACGGCCTGGCAGGGCCCTCACTCTGCTTCATTCAGCCCCTCTCTGGAGGGTGTGGGGCCCACCTGCATGCTCTGCAAGGATGGCAGCTCCTATGGTCTCTGCAGCCTGCCAGGGCATCTCTTCCCTGAAAACAAAACCTAAAAATTATCGCAGAACCACCCAACAGTTTGGGTTGAAAACTGCTTAGTTCCACCCTCTGCCATGGGCAGGGACACCTTTCACTAGATGAGGTTGCTCCAAGCCCCATCCAACCTGGCCTTGGACACTTCCAGGGATGAGGCACCCACAGCTTCTCTGGGCAAACCGTGGGCCTCCCCACCCTCACAGTAAAAAGCCTTTCTGACTGAATTCAGGTGCCTTGCACAGCCAGAAGGGCTCAGCTCCAAAGAGGGGTGGCCTTTGAACTCGTGGCTGTTTGCACTGTTGGGGCCTCTTAGGCCAACGTGTCCTCCCAGCCCCTTGATCTCTAAGCTCTCTTCCATAGCACATCTCCAGACTTTTCCAAAGCCCCCAGCCCCTCCCTTAGGGAACTGCAGGCACAGAAACCCCCGGCAGGACGGGCTCTGACCTCCTTGTCTTTGGCCAGAATGTAACTGCAACCAGATCGGCTCCATGCACGACCGCTGCAATGAGACCGGCTACTGTGAGTGCAGGGAAGGTGCCACAGGGCCCAAGTGCGACGACTGCCTGCCCAACTACTACTGGAGACAGGGCTGCTTCCGTGAGTACCCGGCTGCAGGGCCACGGAGCTGTGGGATGGCTCCAAACAGGGACAGGATCTCCAGCACTGCTGGCTTGGGTGCCCCATGATGGTCGGGGTGCAGGGTGAGCAGATTCCAGCCATTCCTCCCAAATCAAAAATTACTTTATAGCTTTGGCCACGGAGTTTGCACCCTTCCACTGCATTCTGCTGGCCTTGGAACTGCTCTAGCACTGGGAGGGCTGGATAATTTCACTCCTAGGAGCTAAAATCTAGTTCCTGCTGCAGCCAAGGGGTTTAACACTCTGCAGGATAACACCTACACTTGTCCCTCTCCCCCTGCAGCCAATGTCTGCGACGATGAGCTCCTGCTCTGCCAGAACGGCGGCACCTGCTACCAGAACCAGCGCTGCATCTGCCCCGTGGGCTTCAAGGGCGTCCTGTGCCAGCAGTCCAGGTGTGAAGTGGACAAAAAGGACTGTGACAGTGCTCCCGGTGCGGGCGGCAGCCTGGCCACCGTGGCCCTGGGGGTGCTCGCCCTGCAGCTGCGAGGCTGGGTGGACCTCTGAGGCTGCACAGGGAGCCCAGCCCGGACGTGTCACCCCAGGGACCTGGGGACACTGAGGTGACGGGTGGCCGTCCCCACCACCTCCTCCGCCTTCCTTCACGCTAGGACTTGCACAGCGTCTTTCGGTCCACTTTCCAAGCAGAGAGGTACGCAGGGAGCCCGGTGCTGACTCCTGCCCGGTGTCCCAGCCCGGTGTCCCAGCCCGGTGTCCCAGCCCGGTGTCCCAGCGTGGTGACACGGGGACAGCAGCAGCCTGTGTGGGACATGGCCCGTCCTGCACACAGTGACTCTGTCCTGCTCTGCCGGGGCCAGGGCCGCCGGGTCTCTGGGCAAACAGTGCCGCCATCCAAGGGATGTTTTTTTTATTATTACTTTATTTACTTTGGTATAGGCTGGGGTGTTGTTTTTATTTTCCCTGCTCTTGGCATCTGTTTTAGAAGAGCCTGTGATGACAACTGCAGAGCCCCAGCACACAAGGAGCAGGGGACAGGAGGGAGGGGAGAGGGGACTCTGGTCCATCCCTGCTGCATAGTCCCACATCCCACCACGGGCCTGGCCTGGCCACGCACATACTGTTGCCTACGACTGTAGTTGCTGCATTGATTTTGTATTTTCATGGCTGGGTTTTGTTTTCTTGCACTTATGGAGAACACAGGGGCCATGAGGCATTTGGAACGTGAGGAGTGCAGTGTCTTATCCACACATGTCCGTATGGTGTACGGGTCAAATACTTCTTTTGGTAGAGACTTATTTTTATTTGGATTAAATGTTATAACAGAACCAGAACCACAACCTAAAGGGACATTTTACCATGAGCATTTGATTCTGGTGTATCCTCCTCCAGTAAAGCAACTATTAATGGCTGCTTGATCACCATGTTTTATTTTTTGTGTGCACAGTTAATTACAGGTAAAGACTTATTTTTTGATTTGCAATGTCCTCTTGTGTTTTCTCAGTTACTACCAAGGTGCACCACATGGTGAGGGAGAGGGGAGGGAGAGATAGCCTCATCACTGAGAGCTGTTAATTATTTCTCCTAATTACTTCACTGAGCCTAGGTTAGACTACTAACTGTAGACAATGAGCAAAGTCTGAGTGATATATTAAGCACTGGTCTTGTGTGAAAAGGCCATTTCCAAATGAGCCTGCAGCAGGAAAAGGCTGGCTAGTGCAGGGATGCTTCTCCATGGGGACCTGTTGTCCCAACCCCACTGCAGTCCCCTCCAGCTGTTGCCATGATGCATCTTTGCAGAAAATGCTGTATTTTTAAGCAACCACAGCCAGTATTTTTAAGCAGCAATATAGAGCTCATGGGGATTATATTAACTCATTAAGGCTCATCAACATGCTCCTGTCTGAGGAGACATTTACAGTCAAGCACGTAAATGAGGGCAGGAGAAACCAGAGGCAAGAGGAGGGAACTCAGATCAACGGGAATGTCATAAACACAAGAGCTCTAGTGCTTACCAAGCCAGGAGATGATTGAGTGCAGGCTTAGAAGATGGGGGCACCCCCAAGTCCAGCTTGTTCAGTTCTAGGCTGATTTCTTTGACAGGTGAGCAGCCTTGGTCCCAATCCCAGGTCTGTGACACTCCCAGGGCTGGCCCCACATAATTCAGGCTTCAGCCCCACTGGTATTTCCAGGTCTGGTGTCCTGGAAATGACACCTGAGTGGAGCTGTTCTCTGAGAGCTTCTCTGTCAACTTCTGCTCTGTTCCAACACCTTCTCTCCGTGGCCCTGTCCCCACAGCCCATCCTGCTCAGGGATGCCTGGAGCAGCCCATGTTTCAAAAGTGCAAGAACCCACAGCATCTTCCAGCTCTAACTCTGGATACTGAGCACTCAGCCAGTGCCACCAAAACCCAGCCACCTCTACGGAGAGGGGACAGCAAGCCTGTGCTTTGGAAAAGGACAGAAAACCACAAGTGAAGGTGCAGGATGGATGTTGTCACCTCAAAGAGGAACACACATTCTGAGCAGGATTTGACATCCCAGAGGCAGAGCACAGGGCTTAGCTAATCCACCATAAAGTAAAAGAGGGTTCAACTCACCCTGATTTGATCCCTGAGGCAGTGGGCTGGCCCCAGCATTGCCTCCCTGGTTCCAGCACAGTTGGGTGCTCTCTGTCGGTATTGACACTCACTCTTTTCTTTGTGCTTTCTGACTGCAGCAGACCTTAAATCCTCATATGTTACTGTTCTTACAAGTAATAGCAAAGACTGTAACAAGATCAAGACCTCTAATGGCACTTCTGGAGGATGAAGCTACATTCTCCTTTCCCTGCACTACTGTTTTTCTCTAGAATATTAGATTAAGCAACAGAAAATTTACTACTTCATAAAGCCAGACAAACTGCGCCCAGCAGATTCCCTGCAAATACACCATTTTATTGCAGGAACGTGCCAAGCAGCAGCACCAAATTCCTGTAGAAAATAACCTCAGAAGAGCACAACAAAGCTCAGACCAGTCCAGGAATGAAGGCTGCTGAAAACTGTATTTCTGCCTTTCTAGGTTTGGGGCTTTGCTCTTGGTTGGTTGGGTATTGGCTGTTTGGCTTTGAGGTTTTAGAGTCACAGAATAGTCACATGTGCTGTAGGACTTGGAATCACACAATGCAAGCCACTGCAAGGCAGAGAAGAAAATCACACAAACCTTACACTTAGTATTCAAGAAAACAATTTAAAACTTCTGAAAGCTTCAGCACTGAAGACTCGTTAACTGCAGACATCTGTTAGCACGGGTGTCTGCACAAAGAGAACAGAGCATTGTTGAAATAACACAGGGAAACCATCAGTGCAAGTACCCACAGATCCCAAAGTTCATCTTCTTTATGACAGAAGTTTTGTACATCAATTAATGCTTCCAAATGGGAGAAGTTGTCCAATGAGCTCGATACTTTACTTGTGGAAAGGTTACCCAAAAGGTACTTCTCTTTCTGAGAAAAGCCACTTACGCTCTTTCAAGAGGTTCCATGTGCATCCTGTCAGCGGCATTTGATTAGTTTGGGAAAGTTTTTAAATTACACTCTTGTCTGCAAAAAGTGACCTCTCCAAACAGCACAAGTAGAGCTTTTGATTTTTCTTGTTTACCTCAAATTCTACTCTGGTTTTAACTATTTCGAGTTCTGACAAATTTAAACAACCAAAAGCCCCAAGGCAACAAAATCTTCCTGCTGCACATTTGCTCACTTGCTAGGTGAAATGTTGAAACTACAGTTCCTGGGAGCTGGAGACAAGATGGGGGAAGGAATTCCATTGGCAGTTGCCAGGTATGTTATTTGGTTTTTTAAAGTAGCAGACATCTCATCTGCAAGTGATTCGTAAGGAGCCCTGCAGAGTCTGGAGGAGCAGAAGAACCAACTTTGCAATGGGAATGAAATGGTCTCACTGCCCTGTTCTGCTCTGTAATTGGCTTTCAAGAGAAGCCTCAAATGTAAATAAAACAAAGTATAAAGGAGGAGCTGAGTGTTCTTGCTCAGAAATAAGAGCAGAGCCGGGTTTTGAAGAGCTTTATATCCACATCTTCTCAGCCCTTTTGGCTGGGAACTGGAGAGTTTGGCCATGATCACACAGAACGTGGCTAAAAATCACAGCCTGATTTGAGATGTAGAGAAAAGCTTCAGACCCTCCTGAAGGCTGCTTTGACATTTTGATTCTCAAGGTGTTGTAATAAGTTTAATTGCAGGGAAAACACATGAGGAAAGCCTAAACCCACTCATCCTCATGACATAAGTGCCAGCAGCAATACCTGGCTCCAAAAGCTCCATCCTGACCCCACTCCGTGCCACTCCAGGGGTTAAAACAGAGGGGAAAGTGAATAGAGGTTTCTCTGCAGCAAAGGGAGTTCTTGCTTCATGCAACAGTGAAATCAGTGGCAATGTTGCACAACAGCACCAGACTACAAAATCAGGTTTTCTCTGTTTTCCCAATACCACATCTAATGTGGCGTCTTCATTTCTATCACACTTTTCCTGGGAGTTGGTGGCAAAAGCAGCAGACAGGTACATATGGCCAGGAGGTCTCAAGTCAGTGATATTCGATGTACGAGGCTGCTTAGCTTACATTTATTTGCACTAAAGAAAAAGGCACTGGGCTCCTTTCCAAGCAGCTTAAAAAGACAAGAAAGGAGACCCGTTGTGGCAAGAGACTGTATTATATCATTAACATTATAAATTCCGTTTACAATCCAGTGGTCATTTCATCCATCATTTATTCATGCACAATGGAGAGAGCGTCTTGCATTTTTAGGACCATGGTACTGCTCATCCATGGGATTGCTGTGAATGAATTTCTCTGGTTTTGGCTCCTCTGGTCTCTGACTTCTCATCACGTTCCAGAGACTGCCAAAATGCAAGTCAGCTCTGGAATTACTGGGGTTCCATGTTAATTTTTCAGCTGTCGACCAGGAATGTTGCTTGGCCCCAACTGATGCATTTAGTCACAAGATCTGCATTGCTCTGGAAGCCCAGGCTGCTCTGTGCTTCCCCCACGTGAATGTAGCAGGGGTGGGGGGTTATTCCCATTCCATGGATTAGCAGGGGAAGAAGGCTGCCAGCCTGCAGCCCTGGCTCCCAGCTCCTGCGCCACCACTCATTAGACCCAGCTGCTAATTAGCTGTGGCACTCGGCTGCCCCAGGAGACAGCACTGTAAGAACTCACGGTCCCACCAGCACTGGGAGTGTGAATGGAGAGGCAAGGACAGGCTGATGTCCCTCACATCCCCACAGAAGCCTGGCACAGCTCTTGTGAAAGCCAAGCACAATCCAGTGGCATCTCCAGCTCTCAGTACCCACCAAGGAGCCAACATCTCCCTCCTGCACTTCCCAGAGTGGATAATGTTCCTGGAAAACTGCTGGTTTTCCCCTCTGCTGCCCCACAGACAGCCCAGAATAGCTGGGAAGGCAGCACAGCACAGGGCAGAGTGACCCAGAGCTAAGGAACACAGAATAGACAGGGACCTGCTGTGCTCTCACATCACCATGATTGGGAGTAATGACACGGA